GACCACATATATATATATATACACATGTATACACACACACTGCAAGCTCTCTCTTTCTTTGTGTCTCTCTCTCTCTCTCTCTGTAAGTATAAATACACATACTCCATATATAAGTATATAGGCTTTGTGTACTGTATATGCTATAAGCGATAACGGTACGATACCTTTCTATACTATACTCGGCTATAGTTTCTAGGCAACCTTGTCTGGGTCAAAGGGCCTACGCCCAAAGCGTTAATTCCTTCTTCTGCTGCGCAAGGCACAAGTTTCGACCGTTTGGATACCACCTACTGCGGCTGACGCCCAACGATTCTGGGGAAGAAGGTGGTTGTAAATTTGTTAATGTGGTTTGTGTATTCTCTGAGTATGGTCTCCAGTGCGGAAGGCTCCTTTTGTTGTCGTCTTCAGGACATTACATGCCGGAAGAGGTGTCTCTACCAAGGACGTGATCCTGGTGCACCAATCCATCGCTTCGAGTGTGGAGCGAGGCGCGGGGAAATCGCTCGAACTACGATCTCCGATGTAGAGCGCAAGGCCTCTCTGCTTGAAACCCAGAAGATCTTTTGCAATCCTGCGCAGAAGTCCTGGCAAAAGGTGTTGGGTTTGCAGACAGTGCCTGACAAGACTAAAGCCCGAAGAATCCTGCCTCAAGTCGAAACCCTAGCCCTCTACATGAGCTTTACGTGCTTAAGCTCAACAGCCCTGGCTGTTGAGCTGTTTGGCCAGGGCTTCAGCTGAAGCTGCCACAGGACGAATTTGAATGCTATCGGCATCTGTGCAGCAGAACGTTGCAGGTTGTTTTTCTTCAGTTCTTGCTCATGTGGTGGCTTGCGTGGACACAGGAGGTTTACGGATTCGGCAACAAGTTGAAACTGTCAAGGAGTCCTGTTTCACATCATTCCCTGTCACACACAGAATGTTGGCCCAGTCCGGAGCAGTATGTGCCAGTGAGCGTAAATGCGCACGCACATGTGCGCGAGTCTCTGTGCACTCTACTCGGCAGCTCTTGGCATCCACAAGAACAAATCCACGTGCTCAGACAGGAACAGCACACTGTGGCTCCAGCCCGGGATCCCAGTGCAATTCGGATTGCTTTCGTTGGCCGTCAGAATCTGCTTCGTTTTGCACTGATAATAATGCAGATCATGCGAGAGATATAAGGCTGTCATATCCACGACGAAGTTCAGAAAAAGACTAAAGTGACTAAAGTTGGTCAGACAAGCAAAGCAGAGTTGTTGAGGAGGGTCTTAGTTCTTAGACTACGATTTCAACGCGGCAATCGTCCGAGTGGTTTTCGTCAATGTGCATTGTCGCCACCACATCCCAGCCTGCACTATCCCGGCTGCTGCATGTTGTCACAATTCTCGCCAAGGCTAGCGTCGTAGTAATTAAGCTTCTCGGACGCTTGCATGCTTTAATTGCAGTGCGGGGCATGCTATTGCAAATCCAGACTTCGCAGAAAATCGTGCATACGCCTTGACTCATTGAGCGGTATGTTTCTGCAGGCAGCCCAGAGTGAGCGAGCGAAAGAATGCTTGCGAGGGCAGGAAGGTCGACACGGAAATTTTGGATAAAGGCTCCGGGTTTCACATCGCGTCTAGGAAGTTTCTCTCGCTAGGATGCCAGCAGACTATGTCCGGGAATGGTTCTTCGCGAAGCATCCCTCGGCAGCAATAGGCCTCACGGTCACGGTTCATGACAGCTCGGACGGAGTGTGAGGCTGTAGTAACTTTCGCAGGACTTGATACTCGTAATACGAAGTGAAAGGCAGATCGCTACATCGGGTCCAAAGTAGTAAGTCCTTGAAGCTGTCACGCCACCCAGCGGAAAGCTTCTCAGAAGCACCTCGGCTCTCATCCCAGACCCTCGAAGCTCAGGAAGCCATTGAACCCCCACCTTTAGTCGGCGAGAGCTATCGTTCTGACAGTTGGCAAAGCGGCTCGTCGTTTCTACGTCTATGTTCTCACCCGCAACAAGCAAGCGACAGTCTCCGACCGTTGTTTGTCATCATGCAGCCATGCCGGTGATTTCGTGTGTTTGGCGGTCAGAGGCCGCAAATCCCAACCCCACATCTGTTGCAGGCCACATTTGGTCAAACCTTTCGTCGCTCAGCAAGGACACTCACTAGCCATGCCCACGCCAAGATTTAAATGAAAGCACTTGTCATGGCTTTTCTGCCAGTGAGAAACGGAAGTGTAATCGTTAGTGCTTATACAGGAAAGCTAAGGCCGAGAATTCTAGGGTTTTAGTCCGCCGATTCAATACAATCTGTTACCACTCGGAATGCGCCTGGCGTTTTAACACGACTAACTAGCCGTGGTGGTAGTGACAGTACTGCCAGCAAATCGCTTCAATACTACATACCAGAGTAAGTTTGTTGTTTGAGGAGGAGCCCAGCACATGTGAGAGAGGGAAGAGGAGCTGTCATAGTTCAGTTTTGGACTGCTGGAGCATATTTACGGTGTCGCGAAAACCATGATCGCATTTTCGAGCCGAAGCACGACCCGAGGCAGTAGCAGGGGCGTTCATGAACATGTAGAAGTACGGCGCCGAGCATACGCCCTTCCTTGGACGTCTTAACACATGGGTGGTTGTCAAAATTATGGTCCCTTTTTGGGTCCGCATTATAATGCGGCACCTATTATTTAGGGTACCCCAAAAGGACCATAATTTCGACAACTACCCACATACATTCGTGCATATGCGACTGATCGCACGACACGGTCGGAGGGAGTCGGTTCGACTCACGCCGCTGCAATGGAAATCCGTTCCGATCTGCATCGCCCTTGGCGGTACCCTATCCTCCTCAGTGCTGCGCGATTAAGCGTAAGTTTGAATTCAGGATGTTTTTGTTGATAACACCCGAAATTGGAGTCATTCTAGCAGGTGCCGAGTTCACTAGTTTCTGTCGAAGCCTTCACAAAATCCAAGTACCTCCAAACCCCAACCTCCAGGAGACCGGCCGCCAGAATGTGCCTTTCACCCTGGACTTCTAGTTCCAAGCGACTGACCCTCGTCGAAAGTCTGAGAACTAGATGTACTGATGTAGAGGATCCGCGTTATTGCAAGCATATATGATTTGGGTTTCGGCTCTGTTTCATTCGAATGCCGAGGCTCAGAGTAATGTAGGGGACTTGTGCTTCAGAAATGTGGACTCCTAAACCCTAAACCCTGAACCGCATGATGACGGCACACATCTCTGCAGGCCCTCCTGTTGTTGTTCGGGCCCCGCTGTAAACTCAGACCATGGTGTGGTCTACCTTAATCCTAAAAACCGTACCTTCTTAGGGTCACTCGTTAGGAGCTCAATGCGTGTGTCTTTTACTTGTAGGCTTTTGCAGGGTTAAGGCAGGGTGTAGCCGTGCGCGTTCTTGTATCTAAGCCTGATGCTTAGGGACAACAGCTCGGCACGCAGCTCGGAGAATGTTAGAGGTTTCAAGATGAACCATTACATACTCAATTCATTCATTCAGTGGCTATTTTGCTGAAACATACTACACCTAAACGTCCACACATATCTGTTGGTATGTACAAACCATGTACGTAATCTCAGCGTCTAAATAGTAGGCCCCCCCCTCCACCAGAATAAGGATGCCGAGAACCATTAATGTAAAACCATCTCTTGACTGCTGGGGCTCTTCGGGCTCTATTACAAATAATAGGATTGTATTGAGTCTCGATTACAAAGCCATTGGAAAAGGCTGGATGGATGGCGAAACCCTTCACTGGGGCTCTTTGGTCTCTATTAAACATAATAGGATTGTATGGAATCTCTATTACAAAGCCATTGGCAGAAGACCGGTCCCCTGCAAAGCTTTGTCTCTCTGTTAAAGAAGCAAGCAAAAGCAAAGACTGCAGCCACAATCCGGCCCGGCCCGGAGGCTTGCTTTACATGTGGTCCTATTTATTAATCTGGTTCGATGTGCTGCCGGGCAGGCCCCGTAAGGGGTAGCTCAGGACAGTATGAAAAATTGCTTCGGTGAGTAAGCAATTTAAGAAGAAAGCCTAGCTTTCTGAGAAGCCTGAACTTTTGGAAAAGGCTTGGCCTCGGAGGGCAGCTCCTGCTGAAGAGAGCAACTGTCCCGGCAGACTGGAGATCGGCGAGCAGCTCCGGGTGCAGAAATGAAGAGCAAGTCTGAAGCTGTGATCCCTGAAACTTTAGACCTCCAAAATAATGTGCTTTAAATGTGGTACCTCTTCACCAGACGAAATCCCGCCGCAAT